AGAAGAGCCAGGCATACAATCCCACTTCTAGCTATGGAGCTGGCAACTGTGAGCTGCTGGGAAAGGGGAGACAGCTTTCTCCTAAGAGTGAAGCTCTGGGAAACCGATCGCACTTCAGACCACACACTCTAGAATATTTGAGCAGTACAAACTGGTCTTGAATTGTTTTTGTTTTTCATTTGTTTGTTTTGTTTTTTGAGACAGGCATACAAAAGCTGTGGCTGTCCTGGAAGACCAGCTCTGTAGACCAGGCTGGCCTCAAATTCACAGAGATCCACCTACCTCTGCCACCTGAGTGCTGGGATTAGAGGTGTGCACTACCACCACCGCCCAGCTATAATCTTTGTAGTAGGTCTCTAAAAAGAAAACAAAAGGCAATGTCCTACTTTTTGAGTTCAGCAGGGCACCTCCCATACCTTGTGCTTCTTTAGCATGCTGAATAGACTCTACAGTTTGCTTCATCACTCCATCATCTGCCGCTACGACCAACACCACAATGTCAGTCACCTGAGCGCCTCTGGCTCTCATTGCTGAAAAGGCAGCATGTCCGGGAGTGTCAAGAAAGGTTATCTTTTCTCCAGAAGGCAGAGAGACTATGGAAACAGAAATGCAATTTACTTTTCAACATGAAGGAATATATGCCGTAATCAGACATAATATGTGATATATATACATACACACACATATATAATACACAACATACCATACACACACATACACACACACACACACACACACACACACACACACACACACACACACATGTATATATGGAGATAGGGTCCTTGTATGTTGTCTTGGCAAGCCTGGAGCTTGCTATGTAGATCAGGCTGGTTTTGAACTCATAGAAATCTGCCTACCAAGTACTGGTCTTGAAGATGTGTGCTAACATACCTAGTTCACTAGTTTTTTAATTTGATTCCTCCCACTAATTTTAACCAGAAGAACACAGACGGAAATTTCATAATGCAAACATAAAACACAGTGAAACCATGAGGTCTTTCTTTTCATGTTATGATTTCAAGCCAGAGTCGTTGTATTTCTAGGATATAGCTGCTTTGATAAATGCATTGATTGATCACCATTCTGGAGAGAGGACCCACCAATAACTAGTTGTATAGGTGATCACTTCTACATCAGCAAACTGCAGCTATACAATTATCCTGAGCCACAAAAAAGCAATTTAGTAGGGAGTTGAGAGCTTCGAGTATGAGTGCAATAATAACAGGTTAGATCCCAGCCTTCTTATTTACCAGCTGTGCTCTCTGGACATGTCACTGAGCCCTTAGGGCTTACAGATCATAAGGACACTAACACCTACCTCGTGATGCTGTGAGGTGAAGAAGACAAAGCACAGAAGACGCTTAGCACAGTAAGTGCAAAGGACAGCGCTCAGTAAATGTAGCTACCATCTGTTATTAAGAACACCATCCGCCTACATCTCATATTATATACACACAATTAAAGAGGCAAGGTTCATTAAACCCAAAAGAGCAAAATAGCTTTGTTTCCACAGCAAGTCCGAGATAACTGTTCACTGCCAGCTCAGTACTTGATCACTCCGGTGGCTTTAAGCAGCCTCTTTACTTTGAATCTGTATACTTCACAGCATGGCATTTGACTAAAGAAAACAAGTAAGTGGGGTTCCCAAGCACACTGCAATGTTATTTGTGTCCATACCAAGAAAGGCACCAATATGCTGAGTGATGCCTCCAACTTCCATTGCTGCCACTTGAGTTTTTCGAAGTTTGTCAAGTAACGTCGTTTTCCCATGATCAACATGACCCATTATAGTAACAACTGGGAACCTTGGTGTTAATAAAGCTGGGTCTGCCTGGGGCCTACAATTAACAGCAAAGGAGTTTTATTTCTTAAATGCGCAATAATTGTGAATTGGTTCACAGCTATCACTACAAACTACCATTAACAACAGAATACAACATCCAGGTTTGATTAGCCATGACGATTTATCCCTTTCACACAGAACAACTTATGGCAGAACAGCCAATGACTCACGTTTGTTATAGGGTTGGCTTCTTCAGATTAGTGGGTGGAGCTGAATCAAGATTTAAAATTCAGACTAATATATGTACTCAGCAAACTATGAAAAATCACACTCAGTTTCATAAAAAGCTGAATATACTTTCTGATGCTTTGAATAAATATTAACTCTTTAGTCACAGACCACTTTAACCACAGAAGAGACTTCAGAGTAAATTTCCCATAAGATGCCGAGTAAAACCGCACAGTGAAGTATTAGTTAATATGCAGGTAAGTTTTACCTTCTTACAGCATCTTTGTTCTCTCTTACTTTCTCCTGTTTTAATTTGCTCCATTTCAGCTTCATTCCTGCCTTCTTTATAACTTCTTTGATCCAGACTTCATCTAAATATGAGTTTGCTTCTAATGAATCTATGTCAATGGCAGTGTTCAATAAAGCTTCATATATATAATCTGGTTGGGATAAAACACAATCTCTTATAATCATGAATTAAAAGGTTTAAAAAGTGAGATCTGGGGACTGGAGAGAGATGGCTCAGCAGGTAAGAGGACCTGAGTTATCTTTGTAACTTCAGTTCCAGGGACTCCATGCCCACTTTTGGCCTCTGTAGGCACCAGGCACATACATGTGCTATAAAGACACACATGCAGGCAAAACACCCGTGTACATTCAAAAATAAAGTAAAATAATAAAAAAAATTCAGAAACACAGTGCTTCAGTCTGTGATGTTTCTCTGTGTACAAAAATAAATCATCTGTGAGGATGATAAGAAGCTTTGTGTCTCCAGACTCCCAACATAGTGTAGGAGACACAAAACCGCTCATTTTCACCACACATACCTTTATTTTTATTTATTTATTTATTTGTTTGTTTGTTTGGGAGAGGGTTTCCCTGTAGCTTTGGAGCCTGTCCTGAAACTAGCTCTTGTAGATCAGGCTGGCCTCGAACTCACAGAGATCCACCTGCCTCCGCCTCCCAAGTGCTAGGATTAAAGGCATGTGCCACATCGTCCGGCATAGCTTTATTTTTATACACAGAGAAACATCACAGGCTGAAGCACTGTATTTTTGAATAATCTTTTTATCATTTTACTTTTTTTTTAAAAAACATGCATGGGTGTTTTGCCTGCATGTGTGTCTGTTTAGTACATGTATGTGCCTGGTGCCTACAGTATTAGAAGAAGGTATCCCTAAGTAAGCAGAATATATGTTGTGAATGTGTCTATAATTCTGGTACTTAGGAGACTTAGGGAGGAGTTAGAGGCTAGCCTGAGCTACACAGTAAGACCTTTCTCAAAAACAAACAAACAAACAAACAAAAACAGAGAGAGAGAGAGAGAGAGAGAGAGAGAGAGAGCAAGGAACATTCATTTTAGTGGTGTGTTAGTAAATAGGGAAGCTGTTAATAAAAGACTGGGCAGTGGTACACATCTTTAATCCCAGCACTTGGGAGGCAGAGGCAGGCGGATCTCTGTGAGTTTGAGGACAGCCAGCTCTACACAGTGAAACCCTGCCAAAAAAAAAAAAAAGAAAAAGAAAAAAAAAGAAAGAAAGAAAGAAAGAAAGAAAAGAAAGAAAAGATCAAAAGGAAATTTACAGCATTCTCCAGTTCCCATCACAGAACTCCTTCAATCACAGTTGATCTCAATTCACCAACATTTGCCGTGGCTGCAGATGCCAAGAGATGGGTACTACGACACCACGGGGCCGGGTTTCCACTAGCAGATATGACAGGTACTAATAACCCAAAGGCAATGAAAATAGGAAACAGTAAAGGAAATTACTAAGTATTGAACTCAGGCCACATACACACTTCGACATGTATACATGATAAATAAATACATTAACTTTTTAAAGTTTTCATGGAGTTTTACTTCTTTGTTTATGATTTACTTATTTAGAGACCAGATGTCATAGGTGGGTGTTGAATCCCTAATCCTCCTGGCTCATCTTCCTGACTGCTGGGGTAGCATGCGAGCGCCATTTGAAAGTGGGAGTCCTAGCCTGTACAGGACCCTGAGTTCAATCTTTAACACTAGAAAAGACGAAAGAAGGAAAGAGGGAGGGAGGGAGGGAGCCAGGAAGAAAAAGAAGGAAAGAGGGAAGGAAGTATAAATGTATCATTTAAAAATGTGCAAATTTTTTAAGAAGAAAAGCTAGAGTTATTCCCACAAATATATCTCTGCTGGTCTTAAATAATTTGTCAAACTAGTGAGAAAAAGGAGTCAGAAAGCTACAGCAAAAGAAAGGGAAATTAGGAGCAGGAGAGATGGTTCAGTGGCTAAGAGCACTGGTTCCTCTTTCAGAGGACCTGGGTTTGATTCCCAGCATCCACATGGCCTCCGACAACAACTGTTTATAGCCCCAGTTCTAGGGCATCCTATGTCCTATGTCCGCTCTGGCCTCCTTGAGCCCAGAGACATGCAGGCAGGCATGTCTTTTTTTTTTTTTTTTTTTTTTTTTTTTTTTGAGACAGGGTTTCTCTGTAGCTTTTGGAGCCTGTCCTGGAACTAGCTCTTGTAGATTAGGCTGGCCTTGAACTCAGAGGTGTCACGTGTCCATATCAAACCCCCCCCCCCCCTTGCCACCTCTGCCTCCCAAGTGCTGGGATTAAAGGTGTGCACCGCCACCACCCGGCCACTTGAAACTGTTTATGTAGACCAGACTGGCTTTGAATTCACAGCCTCCCAATTGCTTGAATTAAAGGTGTGTACCTCCAAGTGTGGGCTTATCCAATTCTCTTAACTTCTTGAGACATCTCTCAGCCATACAGAAAACTTTTCTCATAGTCTCTGATTAAGCTGAAAGAGCTACATTTGGGAAGAAGTCAAGAAATGATTAGGGTCTGTAACCTAAAATAAAAAGAATTGATATAACTTAACATTTGAAACACTAATCCAGCTCACTGCAAGTGAAACCCAAACTTTAGCCCAGAAGTTGTAGCGCACGCCTTTAATCCCAGCACTCGGGTGGCAGAGGCAGGTGGATCTCAGTGAGTTCGAGGCCAGCCTGGTCTACAGTGTGAGATCCAGGAAAGTCAGGGCTGTTAAAGAGAGAACTATTATCTCAGACAAAACGAAAACAGAATCCTGACGCTTTCACGCCCCAGGATGCTTCCTTGTGAGGTTTTTGGGCTCACCTACGTCTTTTGTCATGGCTTTGGCCAGTTCCTCCACAGTCATTCCAACCCATACTTCCACATCCCTTTTAGACTTCACTGGGGACAACTGAGATCTTGACGGTCTTTTTTCCTATTAAAAAGATAGAACACATAAGCAAGAAGGAAGGAAAAGTATGTTCTTCCCCCCAGAGACAGGGTTTCTCTGTGTAGCCCTGGCATGCCCTGGCCTTGAACTCAGAGACCTGCCTGCCTCTGCCTCCTAAGTGCTGGAATTAAGGGTGTGCACCATCATGCCTGGCTGAAGGAAGAAAAATTTAAGTGACACTTTAGATTTATTTTGTAATATGTACCACAACTACAGTTATTCCTATCGGCAAAGTTCTTGTAAACGCTTAAATTGCACAACAGGAAGAGCAGAACTACCCGTTCTCACAAAGATCTGTATAGAATATGGCCTCATACACTATTCTATAAATGATAAAAAGCTCAAAACATATTTCTATACATAGTTCTATACACTTTGACTTCGGATCAGGTAATGTAGATGATGGATATCTGCAACAACCTTCTTTGTCACAAAAAGCCTGTGCTGTTGTAAGGCGGCACCCACGAGCATGTCCGTCTGCCAGGGCCGGGCGCACAGCTGCTCGGCCCACACCGGAGAAGCCGGGGAAAAGCTGGGCTTCCACCGAGCGAGCAGTCCTCTCTGACTCAAGCTGTGCAGCTGCCGACAGACAGTGTGCAGTCGCAGCCAGTTCTCCAACTTCAGTAGCTTCTGATTCATGCTTCTCCTGGGGGGCGGGGAACAATTTTAAAACAAAATTTTGGTTAATAGTTAAATCAAATTAGCAAATAGGAATTGAAGATTTACTACATGAAGACCACGTCACAAATAAAACTGGGTTTCTGCCCTCAAAGAACTCACAGTCTAGTGAGAGGTGAGATTCTATGCCAAGTCCTCTCCTGACAACAGCTATTACTATTGCTCTTGTTACCATTACAGTAAGATTGACAAGCGACAACAAACCCTTCACAGGGGCCAGCGGTACAGCGCGCTTTCTCACACGCTTAACGCTGCTCAGCTGAGTGTGGCACATGCAGGAGATCCCAGGACTCAGGTGAAAGCAGAGCTCAAGGCGAGCCCTAGATACAGATTGTGGCCTACTTTGGCTATCTATGACACGGTCTAAAAACAAAACTATATATTTTTTTTTATTTTTCAGGGGCTTGGAGAATGATAAAATACTTGTTTATTGTGTACAAGAACCCAAGTTTGATCACACATACAGACACGTACACACAGAGAGACAGTCTCAGTTAAATACTTTAACGTTCATTTTAAAGCCTTTTCTCTCTACTTATATTTTTTTCTTATATAAGTGAAGTTACATCATTTTTTTTCGATTTATTCCTGTTTTGCCTGTGTGTATGTCTGTGTACCATGTGGGTGCAATGTCCCCCAAAGCCAGAGAGGCATCATATCCTGGAACTGGAGTTCCAAACAATTGTTAGCCACCACGTGGGACTCCCAGAAGAGCAGCCAGTGCTCTGAACTGCTGAATTGTCTCTCCATCGCACTACGTTATCTTTTAAAATTTTCAGTAAAGAATATACTGTTGTTTTATAACATCAAGTATTATTATTTTTTAAAAGATTTATTTATTTATTATATATACAGCTTTCTGCTTGAATGTATGCCAACAGGCCAGAAGAGGGCACCGGATCTCATTACAGATGGTGGTGAGCCACCCTGTGGGTGCTGGGAATTGAACTTGGGTCCTCTGGAAGAGCAGTCAGTGCTCTTAACCTCTGAGCCATCTCTCCGTTCCCAAGCACTATTCTTTAATGTTACAAAAACAATAAAAACTATAGAGTATTGCATTGAATTTACCTTAATCATATAGCACAGCACTTCTCAACCTGTGGGTTGCAACCCTTCTGGGGGGGTCACATATCAGATATACTGCAGATTTACATAATGATTCATAACAGTAGCAAAATTACAATTATGAAGTAGTAATGAAATAATTTTATGGTTGGGGGTCATCACACCATGAGGAGCTATATTAAAAGATCACAGTATTAGCAAGGTTGAGAACCACTGCTGTAGAGTTATCTGGAACAAAATTCTCAACTTTTATCTTGTCCGAAAATTCTTTTAACTGTTTCTCTCATCACAAAATACGGTATTTCTACAATAAACTTGTAGTTTATATTGATAGAGGATTTATGAATATCAATATTTTATAATGTTTAGAAATAGCAACAGCATAAGACATGATCAAAGAAATGGAAGTGAGTTTGCTACATAATAAGACATTAAACTATGATCATAATGGAACATTTCAATTCATTGTCCTCACATGTATTCTGTGGCTCTGGCAGGGTAAATACACTGACTTTTTTGAGACAGGCCTCACTGTATTGTTAGGCTGGTCTGGAACTCATAATCCCCGGCTTTCACTTCTACAAGCTGTGATGAGACAGGTCCACCATGCCTTTCTAGCAATGTTTTTTTTTTTTTTCTCATTTTTCTTCCCCTCACCCCTCCCTTCCTTCTTTCCTTTTTGTTTTGAGATAGTTTCTCTGTGTAGTCTTGGCAGTCCTGGAACTTGCTCTGTAGACCAGATGGGCCTCAAACTCAAGAGATTCACTTGCCTCTGATTCCTGAGTGCTGGGATTAAAGGTGTGCATCACCACCACTCTGATGTGGGATTCCCCTCAGGATGCTGTGAACACCATTGGTTAATAAAGAAGCTGCTTTGGGCCTCCTGCAGCACAGAGTAGGGCAAGGCAGAAATTCAAGCAGATAGAGGAGAGAGTAGGCGGAGTCAAAGAGAAGCCATGTAGCCGCAGGAGAGAGATGCTGGACACTGGACAGAACCTTACCAGTAGGCCACAACCACAGGGTGATACATAGATGAATAGAAATGGGTTAATTAAGATATAAGAGCTAGCCAATAGAAGTGTGAGCTAATAGGCCACGCAGTGTTTTAATTAATACACTTATGTGTGCTTAGTTTGGGTCTGGGTGTCTGGAAAATGAACAAGCAGCCTCCACCTACATCACTTGGCTGTTCTCTTCGTTTTTAAAAGAAAGATATGATAGCCGAGTGTGGTGAAGGTGACTGTAATCCTGCCAGCTGGGAAGCAGAGGCATGAAGATCAGAAGGCCAAAGCCAACTTTGGCTACAGAGTGAATTTGGGGCCAACCCAGGCTTCTGGAGATCTTGTTTAAAAAAATAATAAAACAAACAAAAAATAAACCCCATTGTTGGTGAGATGGCCCAGCAGGCAAAAACAATCTTCAAGCTTGACAACATGGGTTCAACCCCAGAATCCACTTTAACATGGAAAGAAAGGTTCAACTCCCCCAAATTGTCCTCTAACCTCTACATGAGGTCCATGACACGCACATGACATACCTGCACATATACACATAACATACATCACAAATGCACAGAAAAAAAAAACAAATAAAAGGAAAGAAACAAAAGTCGGAAAGGACACAGTAAAGTCGTGAAGAAAGTACTGGGGAGGTAACCAAAGAACCTTGGGTGGACACCTGCTTTGACACAAATCAGCATTATCACGGCAGAGCAAGTCACTCTTGTCCTGTGGGCCTCATTTTCCTCATCTCTGTAAAAAGAAAGTAGAAGTGTTCAACTATCTGTCCTGTCTACAATGAGGCCACAAAGAGAGCAAGAGATGATTTATTTGTTTCTCACTGATAACTGGCATGCTTTGAAGATTCACCACCATTAGTCAAAAACACTCACAAGTTATTCTCTTGCTCATTTGCAGATAGTTCTGAGGCATTGTGTTTAATATAGTTAGCATCTTACCTTCTCGCCCAAGTAAGGATTAAAAGTAATTCTGGCTTCATTCCAAAAAAATGAAGGATGACTTAGAAATTCAGGCCAGGCCTGGCAACAACAGCCAAAGGCTGAAGCAGGAGGATGACAAGTTCAAAACCAGTCTCCATCCTTGGCTACATAGGGAGTTCAAGGGCAGCCTAGGTATATCAGACAAACCACCACCCAGAAGAAAAAGTGAAAGAAAAGAGAAAAAAAGAAGAGGGAGATGGAGTGTGGGGGTGGGAGGAGAGAGAGGAAAGAGAGAATACATGGGTCCAAGTGCACGGACCTCAGGTTCAATCTGCGATGTTGCAGGGAGAAAAGAAGAGGCCAGAGCGGTGGCTTTGGTATAGAGCACTGCTGCTCTTGACACAACTTAGCTCAGTCCCAAACATCCGTTTTGGGAGGCTCACAATTCCACTACTCCAGTTTCAGGGGATCTCACTTTCTTCTTGCTTCTATGGGTAGGCAGGCATAACACACACATACACTTAAAAAAAATATTAGAATCCAATAACCAAGCATTTACATATCTACCATATACCTCAAAAAGCAAGTAGGCATATGCTTCTGATCTAAGAAGCAAAAGGAAGTGCTCAGAGAGCATAGGATTCCTTAAATCTTTTTTTTTTCTTTTGGTTTTTCTTGAGACAGAGTCTCACTATGTAGTTCTGGCTGTCCTGGAACTCATTATGTAGGCAAGGCAGGCCTTGAATTCAAGAAATTTGCCTGTCTCTGCTTCTAGAATGCTACCACTTAAAGCACCAAAGGCATGTGCCCCTACGCCCATTATTAAATGAGCTGTGAAACCAGATTGACAAAAGGGCATGGATGAATGGAATGGTAAAGACTACAGGACAAAACAACACAGAAATAAGTAATTAGGGAATCAGACACATCAGAAAAAATAACCCAGATCTCAACCCTGGAAGGAACCTTGGTTGTTAAATATTCCAAAGCCTCATTTACAGAGGACACTGGAATTCAGAGGGGTCATTCCCTACTGCCATAAGGTTAGTGGCCGCCTGCACTGGAACTCAGGTCAACGCGAGGAGAGGGTGGTATGCTGCAAATGCCGAGCTGCATTAACAGAAACGTCTGAATGGACCAGCTACAAGTTTTAGAAAAGAAAAAGTAGTTGTGAAAACCAAACCCCGCCGCCGCCACGCGAGCCACCGGGAAGCGCGCACCGGAGCGCTCATGGGCACTCATCAAGCCTCGACAAGTGACACTGACACTCCAAACCACCCTAGCTCAGACTCCACTCACTCAGCTCCCAGGCGAGACCTCTTCCGGACCCAGAATTGTGGGTCAGTCAGTCCGTCCCTTCCGCAAGGTCCCCGTTGAGCTTCCGGTCCTGCCGGAAGCGCCTTTCCCAGGGCGTTCGGTGCTGTCTTTGGCTGGTGGAGGCGCTCGGCGTGTCCCATCCCTCCCCGGGAAGGACATGTCCTTCACACACACGCGTCTCTAGCAGGAAGGAACCGGTGCACGGTGGCTATAGAGAGCACTAACGGGATTTAAGAAGTCACCTCGCGGGCACGCTAGGTAACGGAGCTTGGGAGCTTGGGCTGCTAGCCCCGCCCATTCCCAGTGTATGGACCGGGAGGTGTTTTGTCAACGCTCTGTGCCTCGACTTCTTCATCGCTGTTATTTCAGTTTCAGTGACTTGTTGAGAACACCTTGCCCATGTAAACCTTTTTTGGTTTTGATTTTCGTTGTTTTTCTCCACTTTGGAATCTTTTTAGTCCATCCTTTTGATCACAGCCATCACCACCTGTTGAGGTTAACTCGTTTACATCTAGCACTTCCACAGAATAATGGAATAGTAAAGTTTCTTCCCCAAAACATGCTTTGCACTTATCCCCCATTGTCTACCCTAACTCAGGCCTCTCAACCCACTCCTTTCCCCTTTTTTATTTTATTTATTTATTTATTTATTTATTTTTGGTTTTTCGAGACAGGGTTTCTCTGTAGCTTTGGGGCCTGTCCTGAAACTAGCTCTTGTAGACCAGGCTGACCTCGAACTCACATAGATCCGCCTGCCTCTGCCTCCTGAGTGCTGGGATTAAAGCTGTGTGCCACTACCGCCCGGCTCTTCCCCCTTTTTAAAAACTGTATGTATATGGGATGGGAGACCATTTGTGGGAGTCAGTTCTCTTTCCACAAGGTCGAAGGGATAGAACTGAAGAACTTAGGCTTGGCACTAAACTCCTTTACCCAGTTAGCCACCTCACCACCCGCTTCCCCTTCCCATCACAAAGGGTTACAATCAATATTAATGAGTAAAGACACCTGGAAATCTTTTTTATCAGAGTCTCCACTGATCCCACACTTGAAAATGCCTTAAGTTCATTCCAGTTCTTACCATTTTACCTACTGTTCAAAAACATCTAATGAAGTTCATTCTTTGCAAGCAAGTCTTTGCTCTCACTTGCTTTGGCAAGCAATTGAGGAACCAGTAGAAATACTGTTGATATGGCCTACTAAAATTAACCTCCAGCCACCTGTTAATTTTCTTGCATCTGTACAGGCTCTTCATCTCTTCAACTTCAACCACATCTCCTGTTTGCAGTTCAAATGCTTTTGAATTATCATCATTCCCGCAAACTTCCAGCATGGAGTCATTGTCTTTCCCACAGACATTATGTGTACTGTTTTCAGCTTCTGCTTCTCAGGCCTCTCTGAAACGCCTTAACTCTGCTTTAAACCTTTGCAGCCATTCTCTGTCTATGAATGAACACATCCAGATGTATTTGCTGGGAGTGTATAACATGTTAGTGCCGGGCGGTGGTGGCGCACGCTTTTAATCCCAGCGCTCGGGAGGCAGAGGCAGGCAGATCTCTGTGAGTTCGAGGCCAGCCTGGGCTACAAGAGCTAGTTCCAGGACAGGCTCCAAAGATACAGAAAAACCCTGTTTCGATAAACCAAAAAAAAAAAAAAAAAAAGGATGTTAGTACTTAAGATTGTAATAAAAGGGAAGTGGAGAGAGATGGTTTACTGGATAAGAGCACTGGCTGCTCTTCCAGAGGACCTGGATTCTATTCCCAGTGCCCACATAGCAGTTCACAATCTTCTGTAACTTAGGTTCCACAGGGATCTTACGCCCTCTTCTGACCTCTGCATGCATGTGGCACATGCACATATACTGAAAAAAAATTTTAAGAAATGAATAAAACTGGGCTGGAGAGATGGCTCAGTGGTTAAGAGCATTGCCTGCTCTTCCAAAGGTCCTGAGTTCAATTCCCGGCAACCACATGGTGGCTCACAACCATCTCTAATGAGGTCTGGTGCCCTCTTCTGGCCTGCAGACATACACACAGACAGAATATTGTATATGTAATAAATAAATTTAAAAAAAAAAAGAAATGAATAAAACTTAGGTTGAGTTGCTGACACTTTTAAATGAGTTTCATTTTTTAAAAAGGAAAGATTGGAAGAAAAGACCATGGGCCAGTGAGAGGGCGCCTGTGCCACGCCTGAGTGTGCTACCTGGAAGCCACACACTGGGAAGACAGAACAGACTCCTGCAAGTTGTCCTCTAGCCACACAAATACCACACCACCCACCCCCTCCCGCCACAAGTACACGCACTTAAAAGAACCTCTTTATCAAGCAAAGCAGGGCTGCTTCATAAATTGCTGTCAACAAAACCACTGTATCTGTAAATTTAATATGCAATAAATTCTGACATTATGAAATGATGTTAATGTTTGTCTGCTTCTGATAGTGTATTCGGATCCAGCTGATTTCTCCAAACTTACTATAGGAGCGAATTCTTCTGAGATGATTCTTTTTTCATAATCTTTAGAAAACAGTTTTCCTGGAATGGGGTAGAAAAGATGATGCTACACACCACTTAGTGACTTTGGGTATCTTTGGTTTTTTGTTTGTTTGTTTTGTTTTTTCGAGACAGAATTTCTCTGTGTAACAAGTCCTGGCTGTCCTGGAACTCACTTTGTAGACCGGGCTGGCCTTGAACTCACTAAGTGCCTGTCTCTGCCTCCAAAGTGCAGGGATTAAAGGCCTGCGCCACCACCACCTGGCTGGTTTTGGATATTTGTTTGCTTTTAATGGAAGAGACAATGTAAGCTACCTACTTATGCTCACAAGAATTTGAAACAACCATCTTAAAAAAGGGTATTTTAAATTATGGGTGTTTATGTGTATGCACATGTGCACGAGGGTGTGTGGTGAGGCCAGAAGAGGGTACAGGTTCTCCTGGAGCTGGAATTACAGGTACTTGTGAGCCACCTAGACATGGGTGCTGGAAACCCAACTCCACTCCTCTGCTAGAGTAGCCAGTGTTCTTAAGTATTGAGTCATCTCTCCAGTCACCTCCTTTGTTTTTCCCAGCTTAGTCTGCTATACAGATTTTTGTTTGACGCAAAATCACACTGCTCATACTCTTCTAAACATTTGCCATATCCTTAAATATTAATATGATTGACAGCATAGACACACTAGGAAAATGTCAGTTTATTTAACAGGCCCTTTTGCTGTTAGACATTTCTGCCATTTCTACATGGAATACAGGATCTTTTGTGTCTAGCTTTAGCCCTGTCTCCACTCACTCCATTGTGACATCTGATCATAATGCCACAGGACACACTGCCTTTTCCAACACCTCCCTTCCCCAACTTCTGGAGTTTATAAACCAGACCTCTGGCAAACTCATGACATCACCTTCGCCTAATGCCTTCTCTGGTACATCTTCCCAGTCAGGGTTCCCAAAAGGTCCTCATGGCATAACTAGGCGCATTTTCTTTAATCTATACTCATTAAATATTTCAGTCCTTCTGTGTGTGTGTGTCAGAGAAAGAGAGAGAGCGCATCTTGCTAGATTTTAAGGTCTTTGAGAGCAGAAAGCACACATTTCATGTGCATGCAACATAAATACTGAAAGATTTGTTGAAAGAGATAGCAGCAAGCATCAAAGCAAATACTGTCAGACTTTCTGTTTGGTTACGACGGCTTCTTGGTGTAACAGTGCTGGCTGTCTTAGGACTGCTTTCAACTCACCTATCTTAGAGCTACCCTTATTTTATTCAGCTGAGGAGCTAACATCTTTCACCTAATAAATCCAATGAACCCCTCCCTGTCCTCTGGGTGTTTATAAATATCCCACTTTTTTGGGGGTGGGGGGTTCCTTTTGATTTCCTTTGGCAGGTAGGTTATAGTTGTAATTTTTCTTTCACCAAAAATAAGACACTAGGGTCCTTTGATTGTTGATTCTCACCAGTGGTCCTCTCCACAAGTCAGCCTTTCTGCCAAATGCCTACAGTTTTCAACAGCAGGTCTCCCTTACTGTTATTCTGTGGAAATGCCACAGACTTCCTCTTACTTTCCTTTAAAAACAATTTGTTGGCTTTCACTTTTCAGATGCAGCCACTCCTGTGACTAAATGACTATTTCCTCAAGTCCGCGCTAGGTACTTTTTCAGTGGGACTGTTTTCTCTTAAAGTTCCTGTGTGTTTCCCCTGAGGATAAAGGACCATGACAAGCGTAACATTTCTTTGTTCTTAGCACAGGTGTCTGATGAATAGGAATGGTGACGCCAACGCTATTTCACCACACACAGATAAATTAGCTCCATTTCACAATACAAACCTGTGGTGGAAAAATCTTCATACAGGATACTTGTCATCCTGTATGTAGACTAAAATTAAGAAGTCATTATTATAGATGAGAGGATAAAGGTAGTAATTTGGGCAGGGTGGAGAAGGTTATAATAGAAAGATTTCAGAAACTAAATGATAGACAGCTATGGTCAAGAAGGCACCCCGAGCTTATATAGCTGATGTCTGGTCAGAAAGATCAGGGTTTAAGCATTTTCAATTTGTGATCCCTTTTTATCCAAGAGATTGGTACATGACCCCAAGCACATAAAACAGGTATACATATCAACATTTACTAATAATAGATCATAAATTTTAAGCCAGTTTTTGGGTATGCACATATTTTGTCATTTGTTAATGAGGAACAAAAATACATGTACCAATAGAATAGATATACTTCATTGTCCTGTACGGAATTAAATTTTTCTGAATATTTCATATTAGAGAGTTGGAGCATCTTCAATGTTTTTCAGAGTTGATCAGTATTTTGATTTTATGAACATCAATACTGAGAACATCACGTTGCTGTCATGTGGGTGCTGGGAACCCAGGTCCTCTGTAAGAGCAGGCCGTTGCTCTAGCCTTGAATTAAACATGCTTAAACTTTTTTTTTTTAAACTCTTGAGACGGGTCTCACTCTGTTGTCTTGCTGGCCTGGAATTCTGTGTAGACCAGGCTGGCCTTGAACTCACAGGGGTCTCTGCCTCCTGAGTGCAGATCACAGGTGTATGCCATCATGCTCAGAAAATAAAATGGATGTTTTATTGCTGGAAGTTAACTTTCTAAACTTAAACCAGAAAAACAAGAAAGAACGACACTTCTGTAGAGAAAATCAGTCTAAAAATAAGTGAGAGAAAGGAAAGAACAAAGTAAACAAAGCCAGCCATACCTTTCTCTCACTTTTTCCCTCTTTATTTTTATCTAACATCAGTGGTTCTCAACCTGTGGGTTGCAACCCCTTTGGCAAACCTATTTCCAAAAATATTCACATTATGACTCATAACTAGAAAATTTACAGTTAAGAAGTAGCAATGGAATAATTTTATGGATGGGGGCACCATGACATAAGAACTGAATTAAAGGGTTGTAGCATAGGAAGGGCTTGAAAACCACTGCTCTAAATGAACCAAGAATAGGAGCAAAGTTAGCTCAAAACTAGGGAAAAATAATAACCATGAGAAAAATGTCTAGCTATCTGGTAATTAGAAAAACAAACAAAGAACCCAAAAAGGTGCCAGGCATCTTAGGTCCCACCTAGCACTTGGTGGCAGCTCTAGACTGATCTCTGAGTTCCACCCCAGTCTCGGCTCGAGTGAGCCACTGTCTCAGAAGAAAACAAAATAAGCTCCTCAAACGGAAAGAAAACATTAAGCTGTTTCCTTTGCTACTTTTTTCAGACACACACACACACACACACACACATACACACACACACACACACACACACATACACACACATACACACACATACACACACACATACACACACACACACACACACACACACACACACACACACCAGAAAAATACATATTAAACAACAAAATGTCCCTTTGATCAAAAATTATCTCCTAAGAACTCTATCAAAAATGCCATTAAAGTTTGGGAAAGCACTCTCTGTGAAGCCTTATGACCTGAGCTTGATTTTTGGAACCTGCACAGTCAAAGGAGAGAACTGATTGCCACAAATGTCCTCCCAGTCCCTCACTGAAAATGCGCAGTAGGTTAATTTACACATGGCTAGTAAATTTAGAATCATTTTGGTAAACAATTCAGAATACCAGAATTGACTAATAATAAACATCTTCATCAATATGGAAGTGGCTAAAGATGGTGATCCAGGCTTGGGTAGCTCAGGGGTACAGCGCTTATCTAACATGCATGAGGCCACTGGTTCCATTCCCCACACCCAAAAAGCAAACAATTATGATCCTGCTACATGAAATATTTACTAAAATAGCAATTAGGCTAGCAACAGGAAAATTCTTATCAGTTAAAAAAAGCAAAATATAAAACTGTAAAAAATTGCTGTCTTCAGGGACTTTTTTTTTTTTTTAGATTTATTTATTTATGCAGTATCCTGCCTGTAGGTCAGAAGAGGGCACCAGATCTCATTATAGATGGTTGTGAGCCACCACGTGATTGCTGAGAATTGAACTCCGGACCTCTGGAAGAGCAGTCAGTGCTCTTAACCACTGAGCCATCTCTCCAGCCCCTTTCAGGGACATTTTAAAGGGCTAGAGAGATAGAGCACTGACTGCTCTTCCAAAGGACCTGAGCCTGCACCTACAAGGTGGTTCCTGACTATCTTTAACTCCACTTCCAGGGGATCCCACACCCTCTTCTGCTCTCTGAAGGTGGTGCAGACATAGACAAAACACATAAAAGTAATAAAAAAGATAGGTTTAAAAAAGTTTAAAAATTTTGCAATCCTGAGTTCTGAGAGAAACTGTAAATACAACTCTGAGCACATCAATGTTTCATTTTGTATATGAGCCTTAATCTAATTTTTTTTTACATTTTTTATTGATATTTGAGCTCGACATTTCTCACTGCTCACCTCCCTGCCTCTCCTCTCCCCCCTTCAACCCTCCCCAAGGTCCCCATGCTTCCAATTTACTCAGGAGATCTTGTCTTTTTTTATACTTTCTACTTCCCATGTAGATTAGATCTATGTAAGTCTCTCTTAGTGTCTGCATTGTTGTCTAAGTTCTCTGGGACTGTGGTTTGTAGGCTGGCTTTCTTTGCTTTATGTTTAAAAATCACCTATGAGTACATGTGATAATTGTCTTTCTGTATCTGGGTTACCTCACTCAAAATGATGTTTTCTAGCTCCATAAATTTTCCTGCAAAATTCAAGCTATCATTTTTTTCTGCTGTGTAGTACTCTATTGTGTAAATGTACCACATTTTTCTTATCCATTCTTTGGTCGAGGGGCATTTTGGTTGTTTCCAGGTTCTGGCTATGACAAACAAAGCTGCTATGAACATAATTGAGCACATATCCTTGTGACACAATTGAGCATTCTTTGGATATATACCCCAAAGTAGTATTACTGGGTCTTGAGGAAAGTTGCTTCCTAATTT